ACACAATAAAAAGACCCATCGCTAACAAGTGGCGGGCAGTCTCAACACCAGAAGTATTACTGGTTAATATCGCTAGTTATACCGGACAATCGAACAACCTTACGGGCATCTATTGAAATAAAGTCACATAGTCGACAGAGATAAGTTACGAGAGATCGAGGAGTAAGTCTCGCGACCGAAACTCGACTCCAGACACGCGCACGCCAAGATATCCGCTACCGCGATACGCGACGCAAGCTTACGTGCGGGAACTTTGTAATTAAGCCAATTTACGAATCAATGGGGGATATATATATATATATATATATAATACATTATTTTTATTTGTTGCAAAAGATTATTTCTATTCTATATTTATTGATTTAAATGTTAAATGAATGAATTGTTACTCTGGAAAACCGCACCTAATTTAGGAATATTAATACTAATTTTGGAACATATCTTTGCTTATTTTCATCATCGAATAATTTTAATAATATACTTTTAAAAATACAAATTTATGATAATGAAAAAGTTTTATTTATCATGGTTAAATAAACCAAGAGACAAGCGTGATCCATTTCAATCAGTTTGTAATCTGTACGAGGGTGGTGGAGAAAGGGGAGATGAGAGATGCGTAACAGACAAATATGCAATCTACATCGGCGTCGACAAAATTTTTCTGACGAGTTATACGCGAAAAGTTAGTAACAGTCCACTAAAATTAAAAACAAATTTATTTTTATTAAATTTTATTTTAATATTTTTATCTACAAAAGTTATTTTAACTGAAGAAGAATAAGAACATTACATTGAACGCACCAATACATGATATCATGTATAATGTAGTTCTTATCGGTATCAAAAATTTCAATGTGATTCCAATAAATTGAAAATTTCGATTTCAATTTCGCCGATGTCACGAAAAATGAAGACATACTGTAAATAACTTTTCCCTATTTTTTGAATATTTCCTATAAATTAAGGGGTGCAAGTGCAATTTTCGCACCCTTTTCGCTGCGCCTATGACAGTCTCGATACAATGATGAACGATTGGATCGCGACAATGAATAATATTCGACGGGCGACGGTTAAACGCAGGAGCGGATCGGATCGGGCCCGCCTACGAAAAGGTGGAGGAGGCCCAGGACGCGCGGCCAAACCACCCGTAAAATCCGAAAGGGAGCCGCCGCGGCGCGGAGAGGCACGGAGATGGGAAAGCGGGGGGGGCCGCCCGGGTGACTCTGTGACGCGATTATGCTAACGAAGTTGTTCCATTGTAGCGCTGTTTACAGCGACGCGCGCATTAAGACTACGGAACAATGGGACGGCCGCGATGGAGAATCCTCGGAAATCGGGACGCGCCAGGATGAGAGAGTTATCTCGCTAACGAACGAGCGACTCGGCTTCACCTCGATCATCATCTTGAGCGAGAGAAGACAAATAATTTTCCTTATTAAGAGTTGAACTGATAAGAAAAGTCAATTTTACGTTCCTTATGATTATTTTAATTTACTAAAAAAGGGAGAAGAAAGAAAAAAAAGATTAGAGAATTCAGCAAAAAAGAATAGATATATTTGTACATTCAGAAGACTTTGTAAAAAAATGTTATCTACAAAATACAACGCAATATGCATCTTTCCACTGGCGCATTCTGAGTCCTTGCAACGAATAATGTGCGCGTTCCTGCACGAATCCGCGAGATAAGCGAGTTTTAACGGCATCAAAATTCTCGGCGGGATTCACAGATAGAGGTCCGGGAAATCGTCGAAATTCTGCGTGGTGTGAGAGGAGGGCCCCCGACTTCACCGCGCGTCTGGTTACCCCCTACCGAGGCGCCACTTGACTCGTATTTAACTTTCAAATATATTTTATGCCTTTTGCATTTCAATACTCTCGTGTATTCTCCGCGGAATCCGTCGTTTCACCTCTCCTCTCCCACTCGTTTCGCTTAGATTCGGTTGCGTACACATTTATTTTATATACACGCTATATATACATATTATAATGAATGTATAAGTTATATAGAAATATCTCTCAAAGTAATAAAATATCAGCGTATAAACAGTGTATATTACTTCATTACCAGTGTATTCAGTATATATTATATCAATTTCAGTATCAATTTTTAAAATCTCTGACAATAGAAGGAAAAAATGATATAAAAGTTCAACTTGTTGAATTTGAAGATAGTGAAGATTTTAATTAT